AAAGACCATTTCTAGAGGCTAATGACTTGCTTTGATATCATCGACGCATATATACAATCTGTTATACTGGAAATCAGCCAATTTCCACATTTTGTATGCTAAAAAGTCCGTTTCTAGAGGTTGATGACATGACTCAATATCAACATAGCATACACACAATCTGTTATACCAAAGATCAGCCGACTGCAATAGTCCATTTCTAGAGGCTGATGACATGCTTTGATATCATCGCAACTTGTCACTTAAATAGACATAAAACTCACTTAAACTTAAAACGGAAATTTGTATGCCGCGCGAAGGCTGCACCGAAATGGAGATGGAGTCAGAGATTTAAAAGGCTGAACGTACGCACGTTTCGATCCATTAAAATCGTGGATTGTACTCAGGGATGAAGTAATCAGATCTGAATAATGAATAAGTCGGTGCGAATAGCAAGTACAAAGCTCACGAATACATGTATTATGATTAGTTTGCCTAATTAGCTGAACAATAGAGCTGAACTTTGTTATTATTGTATATGCTTATATATTTAAATGTGAAAAGTTTTTATAGTACAGTAAATTTTCGCATCATTACACGCATCGCCGCGCCCAAAGTTTTGGGGGACAGCCATATATTTATACATCTAAAGCGTAATTTCTGTGGCAACAAAATTTAATGGTGGCCACAGAAATCTGTTTTTATTTAAATATATTTTGGTGGCAATGCATCATTCTCAAATTTAACCATATCGCAACATCTAGATGGAACACATATATATATATACATTTAAATGTTATGTGGTATGTGATTTCTTGGAATAATTTGTGGCTTGTGTCTGCCCCGCAAACAAACATAAGTGGAAGACAATTTTGATATGATTTTAGTGTTTTATGATCTCACACGTGTGTTTCTGGTCCGCATTGCGTGTATTGTTCTGTGAGATCATATTTGGGTTTGGCGCTCGAAAGAGCGAACGGCAACAAGTAAAACGATTGCGAAGGTAAGACACGAGAGGTCAAAGTAGGCGACAAAGCGGAGCAGAAAACATTGAAGTTGAGTAGAAGATGGAAGGTGGAATATGTCTATACGTAGATTTGTTAATTGGCATATTGAAAACTCTTTGTTTTAGCATATTTGCCTATTTACCTTTTTATGTTAAATAAGTTTAGGCACAAGCTCAACGGCTTCTTGACACCTTTTAATGTGCAATAAATGCCACCTTTTAAATGATGTACATAAATAAATACTTGGCAACAACAACAAGAACACAGTTCACTTGACTTGACGACAAAGTTCAACTTATTTGGCAGGAGTCTCTCCCCTCCGACAAATGCGATCCGCGCACTTTGACTTAATAACAAACACTGCGCGCCACGAAATGCGCAAAGCTTGAAGACGTTGAAAAAAGCAAAAAAGCGGTAAGCGCTCTGCGTCGCACAGTGGGCCAAGCTTATTGAAAACTTGCTCAATTATTTGTGCAAATTTATTTTTGATGAATTCATTAAGCAGCCACTTAAACATGTTTATTACTGTTCTGTCCCATTAGGCTCTTGTTCTAAGAACATAAAACATTTGAATGTGTTGTGAAAATTTGCGGGCTTTGAAGTTTCATTTATTTTTGTATTATATATATATAGCTTATCAGTGTTATATTGTTTGTTTGACAATTTGAATGCTTATTTGCTCTTGGCTTGTAATCTATTAACTACTTACTTAAGTCAGTTGGGCCCCAAGCCACGAATACAAAAATCGTATTCTCATATTCTCTTCAAGCAGCTTGTTCGTGGTTTATCTCTGCGACGCTAAAAATAACTTCGGGTAAAACAGAATTTTTATCAATTATAAACTTAAAGGCTTAAAATATTATTCTGTAAATAAATTATAATGAAAAACAGTTTGCGTAAGACAACGATAATATATCCAAGGATAAGAATATATAAAACAAGCATAAATAGTTATATAGAAAATCTTTTAGAGAAAAATATTTGTTTTTATTTACCAGCGTTTGCATAAAGTATTACCCAAATGATAAAGTTAGGAAGATAGAAAATTTAATATTTCCCTCTGATAACGATGAAATTTTCTGTAAAAATTATGTGAAACAATGTGAAGCTTTCCATTACCAAGCTTTTTCATATATTAAAAAAAGCAAATTGTTTCTCAAAAAACGTCAAAAACTGAAAGATTTACATTTAAATGAATATAATTTATGTTGAAAATTTCCCTTTATAGCCGATCTAGTTTTTTATAGTAAGTACCGAAAGGCCAGGTTTTAGCCATAATAATTGGGATTTTTTAAGTTTTTAATGGGCTGAAAAAATGGGAAAAATAACACTTGATCGAGCTCTTATAATTAATTAATTACAAAAAAAGTTCCCCAAATACGAAAAATAAGGAAATATCGAAAAAAAATGATAAATTCAAGATAAATTCAAGTATACAAGAATACTTGAAAATTTCGCCCGTCTCCAGATGGATATGGTCTGTTCGACAAGACATTCTCAAGACGAACAACATAATTGGGTCGAAGACGCGTTCCTTTGTCTTGCATACACTATCACTTAGCCAATATACCCTTTGCAATGTGCAACCTATTTAAAGAGAGTTTGCAATATATGTTAAACTCAAAAAGTACAATGGACTTATATAAGTGTATTAATTCATAAATAATTGACTCAATTTGACAATTCCACTGTGCGGGGGCAGACGCAGACAAAGTAAATAACTGACAGCTGAAAACAATTGGCTGAAAAAAAGAGAGGCAGGTGGCAACAGGTGTGTGAGGGCGCGCACGCGCCGTCGCAGTTGTTCTTAAATGTTCTAATGCCTATCAAAATGCGAGCTCAACTTGGAAGTGAGGATGAGGTTGAGGGTTGTGGGGAAGCAGAGTCACGCTGTGAAACGTCAATTGTGACGACAACGCGTGCAATTACTCCCAATTCGTAAGTAAATAAACATGTGCAATCAGCCACATATTGTTTTATGATCTGTTTAAATATTTAAACATTTATTGCTGCAAACACAAAATTGGTACAACGCCCAGGCCCAGTCGGATGGCGAATCGCGTGACGTTTGTGTAAAAGTTTCCGCGCTGCCCGATTTAATTTTGTGCAATTTTCATGGTGCTTATCACAAACGAAAGCCAAACAATTCGAGCAATGTTTTGATTTCTGTTTCTAAATTAATTTAGTGCATCCATTGCGAACTTTTCCACTGTGGCGTGCCATAAATTCACGGCCAATATTGTCACTTTCAATTTGCTTTATGGCTTTATGTGTGGGAGGGCGCGTTAAAAGGCGATCAGATTTCAGCCTGTCAATCCCATGACATTCGACTAATTGTTGTCAAGACAAATGCTTAGCCAAGTCTGCTCGCAATTGTAAATGTGGGTATAATAATGAAAATGTGCAATTATTGCCTTAAATTACTTGAAATGAGCTTTACCCTAACTAAATTGTCTAAGCCTGTGTAAATGCACACATACATATGCAAATAGAGGCTCTATAAAGTGCAGCATACTTTTATGAGGTGTCATAAATTGGAAATGGTTTGAGTCACGGCTTTGTTTGTTTACCAACTAATTTCCTACGGATTAGGTAATTTACACTCGAAACATAAAGTTTGCATTCGGAATCTAACGAAATGATCAAATTTCGCATATAACTAAACAAGTATTTATTATAAGTGAGCTGTCAACTTGTCATGCTATAATTATAAGTAGGAGACGTATGGCACATATAAATTTGATTGTTAGTTGGACATAAAAAAGGTACTAAAGAAAAAACGGGGAAATGGGAAGTAGCACCCGCTCTTCGGTCGGAGCTCAAGCTGACTTTTTATTATTCAAATTTATGCGTTGCGCGAAGCACATTTGACATGTGGCTAGGACAACGCCCAGTTGAGTGCCAGGACGAGCGTCCTTGAACTTTGAGGCCCAGCATGACGGAGCACTATATTTGCATGCCTACTTCCCACGAACCCCTAGGGCTGAGGTTGATTAAATAGGCTATGGAACTACACCCCTGGGCAAGGATGTGGCATGGATCGGCATGTGAATGACTCTTGTGTGACGGACATGACAAATGAAAAGCTGGAGGGGGGCGGGGGTCCAATCAATTAAACAAATTGAACATTAAGTGCGCGCCAAAAAGAGGTTTCGAGTAGCGTGCGGAAGCTAGTTTAAATTACATGCTGCTCACAGCTTTGTGGCCATTAAATGGCAACAGTTGAATGAGTTCAGATTAGCAAAGCTGCCGCTTATCAGCTGCCCCAAACATATTTCCATCAATTTTACGTTCTCATTCCCATTCCCAATCCCATTTCCGAGCTAATGGAACACGTACGAACTGTGCCCAAGTTGCGAAAACAAAAGACGCCGGCGGCCTGCTAAAAGTAAACTAGCAAAAAACCGAAATAAAATGAAATAGCGAAATTAAGCTGAAAATTGAAATACTGTTCTCGGCATTCGGCTGAGCAAATACGAGTATTTCTGTACAACAATTAAATAAACACAAATGGCGAGTTTCGAACTAGACAAAAGCCAAAACACACGCACTTGACGGTGTCAATCAAATCGCGTTTGAACTCAAGTGTTCGGCTCTAAGAGTTAAAACTTAAAAAGCAAAAAAAAAAAAAAAATTAATACCAAAATTCTTAATTGCCTGCAATTTTGGCCGCGCACGCGTCTCGTTGGCAGGAAGTGCCCCAAGACGCGCCTCATCTGTCAGATCTGTGCGATCGGTCTCTGTACTCTGGCGGAGGGGGGTACAACAACTTTGGCATGACGGATGCCCCGAAATTCTATTCATTGCTTAAAAGAGCTTTTTGTCTCAATACTAATTAGAGTTTCTTGTTTAATTTGGCTTTCACGACGAATGCTATTCATTTCTATGCAAAAAGTTTGAGTTTGTTTCGTTTTAATAAGTATTAATTAGAGTTTCGTGTTTATTCAAGTGGATTTCGCTTTCAGGCTAAGTATATTTCCATTCATTTTCTGTTTGATAATTGATTCTAATTAATTCATACTCTAAATATATTATATTGCCAAATCGATGGCGCGCTTTATAAGTGGTACGAAAATTAGCTCACAACTCTGCGAAATAAATAACTTAAGAAAAGGGAATTCTCCAAAGTCCTATAAAGCCTATAAATCCTCATTTAACTTATATTAGTACATTTTGGTACTCTAAGTAAGGAGAATAATAATGGGAATTCAAGTGTTATAATCTTCCAGGTATTTTATTGATATTGAGTACGAATTCGAGTGTATTTCAGTAACCCGATAGCAGAGTATCTTTTAGTTGATCAATTTTAAGATACTTTTTTCATTCTCAGATAAGTAACTGCAACCAAATTGAATATTTAATCTAAAAATAATCGCACAAAGAAATATTGTTTCGTGGGCTTTTGCTCTTCTCTAGAAAGAGGGAAATTCTTGAAGAGCTTATTGCGTCGTAGATTCTTCCCCTTTTCATAGCATGTCATTCGAATGTGTCATTCGAATGTAAGTACATAAGTAGATCTGTATGACATTGCCATACGCCCCCACAAAAATGTGGGTGTTTTGGACAATTTCCCACGATATGCGTGTGATGGGTTGCAGAAAAAAAAAAAACATTTTGTCAATAGCCCAGCAATTCGAGCCACAATAACAACACTTAACGCTTCGAGAAACAGTTAGTCATAGTCATGGCAAGATCAGCAGACACTGCAAAATATTCGAAAACAACAAAAAAAAAATGTTGACTGTAGCCGCAAGCGGCGGCCTTATTGAAACACACGAGTGGATACACCTTATATATGTATAAATATTAGGTACAAATCGGGGCTCTTAGCCATAATTAGAGCGGACGACGCAGAGAGGGGCAGAGGCAAAGAGATGGCGAGAGGCGGGCTGGACTCGCTCACGCACGGGCCCAGGTAGAAAAGATTGATGGATGAAGCTGAAGCTGAAGCTGAGCTGCGCTCTGAAGTGTCAAAGCTGCAGCTCAGCATTGAGCTGGCGACATTGACCTTTATTTGCCGTGTACATAGACCAAATTAATGATTCGCTTGTAGCTCAACAACAATAACAACAATTGCACGTGGCACGCTCCGGCTTCAGCCACCTGACCGAACCGCAAAGTGAACCAATTTTGTTTTACCAATTTGATCAGCATTTTGGTTTCGACCATTTCATGGCTCCATTTCTACTGACTCATGTGCGTTTATTGCTGGCAGTTGCCTTTTTGCACACGAATTTCGTTTCATGATTAGCCCCGCCAATAACTGTAAATCATTCGGGCCAACAACAGCGACAGCTAGCACCACTCGCCGATCAACGATATTGTGCTCCGACTGGATTTCGTACAAGCCAACATTTCATCTCTGGAAGCGCTAAATTACAGCTACACTTTTGGCTAACAGCTTGGTTCAAAGGCAGCTCCAATGTCACCAGCAATGCGGCTGCAAACGGAGGAGGGTTCCGGGCCGGAATCTTCGCTGCTTCGTTTATTGAATGACTTTTCAAAAATTACCGCGCTCATTTGTGCTGAAAGTTAAATTGAAGAAATTTTGATAATGCTGAGAATATCAATGGTTAGAATTTACTATAATTATAATTTATTAAACGTGAAAGCAGAATATCTTACGCAAGCTGAAGTTTTAATAGCCTTATATATGCTACGGCTTGGCAAATATGTGAGAATGGGGAAGATTCTGAGTTTCATGAAAACATCTCGGAAAACAGAATATTCTCATATATATAAAAATAGTGGTATTTAATAAACTTATAATTCCCAAAAGGGAATATCTTGATAAAGATATCTTGACAAACCAAAAAGTTGTTCATACAGGAACCTACTTTTCTCTCTTTTCTCCTCTTTTTTTATGGCAGCTACATGATAAAGTTGTCCAATTCGGAAGGTTCCCCCTGCTAAAGAAAGCCGGACCTACGCAAACGGATGGAAAGAGGGTTAGACGGACATGGCTATATCAACTTGTATGTTAATGCTGATCTGGAATATATATACTTTATGAGGCTGGAGATACCTCCATCACTTCTCTACTTCATGTCAAAATTCAAGTGTATCAAAATGAGATGAGTTAAGGTAATTATAGTCCATCCCAAGTTGGCAATAGAAAAACATATAATTTAAATAATTAAATAACTAGTCTGTCATTTTTCAGACACAATTAAAATTTACTTTTTAAGAAATTTAAATTGGAAAAAATTTAATAATTGCATTTTTAGGTACGTAATCATAAAAGTCGCACAAGCAGAAAGATATATGTAAATATTATTATTTCATTCTTATAATTTTATTTTGTGCATATTGTGGAAATTTTTCCCAGGGTATTTCATCAGTAATTGATTCGACGTGTTATTTACTTGGACGTTACTCACAATACTTATTAGTCAACCGTTTTAAATGCTAAGACTAAAGATTTGCCTGTGCATTTAATTGGCTTAAAAATTCAACTGCGTTTGGTTTCGGGCCATGTTTATAGACATATCAAATTTCGCCTTGGTTCGTTGTGCAAAGTTGATGATATTTTTTAACCAGGGATTGGTTAAAGTACTAACTTCATAAGGAATATGTTTAAAAAAAAAAAAGTGATTCAATTAGGTTTAGACAATGCTAATGGGGAAACGCCTAATGAAGACAAGGCTACGACTGTGGATCTTAAAATCAAGCTAAGTTTTGGTATCCAACTTTGTTTTTCATATCATTAAATTCATTAATAATATTCAAATGCAAGAACTAGTTTTCTTTGAACCTATAGTTTCAAATAATACAAAAATAATATTCAATATTCACAGATATATTCGAAAATATATTAGTTTATGTATCGAAAAATTACGAATAAATAAAGAAGATATATTTTTATTGCACATTATTTTATGTTTAATTAATAAATTCTATTTTTTTGCCGTAGAAATAATTGTGAAAAAAGAAAAGTCTGTGTTTTATTGTTAATAGGATCAATTTTTGTTCTGCTGCCTAATTTTATTTTATTTTCAAAAATTACCGTGAAGTATTTCGAATATATATTCCAAGCTTCAAACGGATAACTCGAACAGTTCGAAAGCTACCGATTTCTGCGGACCGTCTGACTTTGAGCACATATCATAAATTTTATAAAGCTGGCAAGTTGGGTTTCTTGCCCATTCATATCTGGGCAAATAGAAAATCTGTCTGTGCGCGCATTATTTATAAAAATAAGAGGTGGGCGCTATTTGTTGTTGTCTTTGTTTTATGTTTTTGTTGGTCTGTCGCTTGTTTTGTCAATAAATCGCAACTGTTGCTTGAGCCTGAATAAAATGATGACAAGGTACGCGTTGGGTGTATTTATAAGCAGGCTATTAACCAAGAAAACCCCTAATGATAATCAATATCAAAGCGATGCATTGGGCAGGTGAAATTGTTTAAAAAGTGAAATATGAAAAGTATTAAGTAGCCGTCAAGCGTTGCCCATTAGCCAAGAAAAAGTGCCCTAAGGTGCAATTAAACTAGTCAAGCGTCAATGGAAAACATTTTCGCTTTCTGAAGGTTGTGGGCGGGACGGAACGGTACTGGACGGGATTACCGCTAATCAGTTGAAGGTATTAAGTTCTTCAAGTTGATAAGGCATGCCATAATCAGTTTTAGGCCCATTGAGTACAATTTCTTGAGTGGAACATGTCAGCAGAATGACTTTAGGAAATTTAAAAACAACTGACAGAACTAACAGCGTGTGTGCTGTGCTATCAAATACCCTAGTTATGTATAAAGTGCATTAGTGTAGCATTAGGTACAATATTCTACTAATAATAACAATTCTTGTAAAACTTTTAATTTATAGTTAGACTGTGCTGTGCTATAAGATACCCTAGGTATGTATAGAGTACTTCAGTGTAGTTTTAAGTACAATATTCTGCTTTGAATAACAACTCATAATATCAATTTGTATGTCAGAAATGTTTTATGGCTAAGCAAACGACTTGTCACCAATATACCTGTCACACGCATTTGGGCAGGGTATAGCTAGTATGCAAACCTAGCTAATTAAGTCATAAGGGCAGCGCGAAGCCAGTCCTGTAACGGTAACCAAACAGCTCAAAAAGCCAAGCGCCAAGCCCAAAAAGTTAAGCGACTGCGCTGTCGACGTCGCCGGCTTCGCAGCCGCACTCGTCGCTAACATGAACGCAGTCGCAGTCGCAGTCGCAGTCGCAGTCGAAGCCAGCGCCGGCGTCGACGTTGTGCCGACCGAGAGTATATCAGTTACAGGCAAAGCGCCAGCAACGTTTATTTGCGCTCGAGCAGCGAACGTGGCAGCAAGCAAAAACAAAGCAAAGCAAAGCAAAGCAAAGCAAACCCAAAATCAAAATCAAACTCAAACGGAAAAGCAAAAGCAAAAGCAAAAACTCAGCAAGTGCTAGACGAAATCGAAGCGAAGCGAAGCGAGCAAAACAGAAATCTGGCCAAAACAGTCGAAGCCAGAAAGTTGAAAAGATAGTTCGTCAAGTGCTCACAATAATAAATTTAATTTTAATTTCAATTTCAATTATCAGAGGAAACGACTCTAAGCCAAGTTAATTAAATTGAGAAAATTGATAATTGTTTAGCGAGCTACGCGCTTTCATTTTCGTTTTCAAACTAAATAAACGCAATCAAAAGATCGCGCGGCAGCCGCTTAAAGAAAATATAAAACCAGCGCAGATTCAAGCACAAACGAAGTGGTTAAATGTGAAATTGTCATTGGAAAACAGTTAGACAAGCATTTGTGTGTGTGTGTGTGTGTAGGGGGGCGTTTGCGCAATTGTGAATTGCTCGAAAAATCACTTTTCAATATCGAATCCAATTTTTATGGTCAAGTGCCTGCGTCTGGCCATTGTGCAACTGCCAGCCAACCCAGCCACTTAACCTTAACAATCATTATTTGGCAATAAGACATTTGGCACAATCATTTCATTCAAGTGTGCCCAAGTACGCCAAATCGAACTTTTACCGTACAAACGAAAGCAAAGCAACAACAACAACAACAACAACTGGACTCAACGAACCCACGCGGCGCTTAACTCGAGTAGCAGCAGCAGCAGCAGCCAAAGACAAAACAGCACAAGAAGAAGAAGTAGCGGAAGAGGAGGAGAAAGAAGCAGCAGGAGACAGCTGAGACGAACAAAAATAGTGCAAAATGGTTGAGAAGACAGGTGAGTGCAAGTCGGAGTCAAGACTGAAGACTGAACGAATGATTCGGGGAAATTTCAATTGTTTGCATGCACGAATACATATGTACCTATGCATGTGTGGTGTGTGCGTGTGTGAAGGTTAGCGGAATCGAAAAGTGTGCGAATTTGAAACGTGCGTGGAATATATTGTGCACAATTTGCATGAATTTGGCAACTGAGTACAAAATACAAAGAATTAGAAAGTACTTGCACTTAATAAAAACTCATGTCAAATATGCTTAAGCTGCACTCAGTTGAAACTTTAAACTGCAGGTTTTAATTTAACGTTAGTTACAAATTTGGCGAAGCGAATTAAACTGTTTAATCGAATTGTACGCTTGTCAACTGCATTTAGCGGAATATTCTCTTTGTTTCCTAACAAAAGAAGTTTAATAACAAACAGCATAATAAATCATTTTACAAAACTTTAATGAAAATAAATTAAAAATAAATTTGATTATTTCAAGCTTTTTTTTTTTAATGTGCATCCAATTAAATTTCATTTATGTTTCGCAATAACTTTAAGATTCTGCTGTCAGGAGAAAATGCAAATTTATATTTAGCAGGCACACATTTTTCTTATCTTAAGTTAAGCGATTGAGTTGAAATATAAGCCAATACTTAAGAGACTTTAAGCTTGCTGATAAATTGTAATTTTAACATGGATATTATAATTCGCAAGGAACAGGATCGATGCACCCCAATGTGGAACTTTCTAAAGCAGGGTAATCCTAAAAGTCTTTGCAAAGTTTGCTCTTAAATTCCCTTTTAGAAACTGTAATACGCATATAACAGGATCGATGCATGCTAATAGGGAAATTCTAAGGAACTTATTTCGAAGTTCGCTGATAAATTGGTAATTCGATATGAAAATTATAATTAGGAAAGAGCAGCGTCACTTAGCCTAATGTCGAACTTTCTGGAGTAGGAAAATTGTGAGGGAATTATTTTGAAGTTTGCTGATAAATTGGTAATTCGATATGAAAATTATAATTAGGAAAGAGCAGGATCACTTAGCCTAATGTGGGACATTCTGGAGTAGGGAAATTCTAAGGGAATTACTTTGAAGTTCGATATGTAAATAATAATTGGCAAAGAGCATGATCGATACACCCTAATGTGGCACTTTCTAGAGTAGAGAAATGTGTGTTGCGCGCGTCGTCAAACTAATTTCAGTAACTATTTAAAAACTGAAATATCATCTTTGCCCATTTAATCAAATATGCATGTCTTTTGCATATGAGCTTGTGTGTGTGTGTGTGTGTTTTTTTTTTTGTCTCTTTATCAATAACCAAATAATTGCTTTTCAATTTCAATTTTCATCGCCGCAACATGACGGCAATTGGTCGCCAGTTTTGTTTTGTCGTGTTGGGTTTGCTTCCGTGGCAGGCAGCAGGCAGTTAGGTTTGATTTGTGCTTCTGAACTGAAAGTTTTCATGACACAGCGCCACAAAAAGACATCGATACATCTGGACGCAAGCACAGGCGACACAACATTAACGCCAGCTATTTAGGCGATGATGACTTCCTCGACAAAGGCTGACAATAAAACCATAAAACCATTAAAGCAATCAAAGAAACAGTTAGGCAAATTTGCCAACAAGTGAATGAACTGCAATTTCAAAATATTGCACAGACAGATAATGATGTCAATCTAATGGCTCGTACCTATTGATTATTATTATGGCTCAAATTTCGAAGAATTTGTTAGAAACGACAGCATAGCTGGCAGCTTGTTTGCGCTGGGTTAAAAGCAACGCGAACTGGCGTCATGTTCACGGCGATAAGAACTGAAAATAAAACAAATATATTTGCCGCACTAATTAATTTTCGACGCGACCAAAGCTAAGGCAATTGTCGTGCCCCACAATATTGAAATTCTTCGAGCAGCTAATTAATGTATCTGTTATTGTTTCAACAGTTGTCCAAAAAGCGCGCGAGCTCAACACAAACCCAATATTTATATTTGGTTTAAAGATCAGCTGAGCAGGTTGTGCACTCCGCTTTATGGAGCTGCTAAAAGGCCCCGACATAGGCCTGCTCAGCGCGAAGCCTCAGCTCAGTGCCTGACCTTGGCAGTGAATACACAGTGGAAGTAATTGATCTTCGCAGTTATTAGCGGCGTGTGAAGCACGGCGGGCAGATTTTATATAAATTGTGGCAATGCCAAAAACGTGTTTGTAATTTCTCTTCTGGCTGCAACTAAATATTTTTATGGCGACAAGCGCGCCTTGACCGTCTGTCGCATAATTCATGCTGTGAAACTGCACATAGATGGCAGTCGGAAGTCGAGGCGGCTTTTTGCGTAGTAGCTGCAACTAAGTATGCTTCCCACTAAATGTAATCGTGCCCGTAGTTGACAGTCTTCTCAATGACATCACGGCGAAATTGTAAGCAAATGCGAATTTAAATAATGCTTATTAGCCTGATCGCTGCTAAATCTGAGTCGCTGCCAATGGAAGATTATCGAGTTATGGCTGCAGCGCCTCGGGCTGCGATAGGCGCCAGTTCGCTGTGGGCCGAGATATCAACGGGATATCAACGTGTTATTAATGAACGCAGCTTATAATTAAGTTAATAATCTGGCAAGCGGATTGATCAGAGCTTGCAACAAACTTCTGTTTGCCATGGAAACTTTTTGCTTGCGTGACACTGAGTAAATGGCATTAGCTAAATGGTTTTCAAACTTATTAAGTATCTCTTGACGTAGTCTTATTGCCATATTCAACGGAAATGCATAGCTATGTACATAGAATAGGAACAGCTCTCGACAATGGGATAAGTAATAAAGTAGGGAAGAAATTACCAGCTGCCTGTTGGACAACGAAATTATCTTTAATTTTTCACATTTCATAATGTGGGAACTTTTTGTCGAGGTAAGGTTATATAATTCAGAGCTGGGTATTGATTGTGTCTTCTTAGAGTTTTGGAAATCATTAGCTAATGATTTAATAATAGCAATAACAATGAAATTCCTGGATTCGCTTATGCATCAAATTCCTTAAACCTTAAATTGCGGTCTATTTGTTTATTTGACGAAGTCCCGCAGTGAGAATTGGTGCTGATTTATTGGCAGAGTAATCGTGCCCGCTTTAAGACATAAATTAGCAGGCCATAAAACACACCTCCCGCATAGCCCAGACCCAAACCCCAGCCCGAGCTGGCTAATTAATGAATTTATAACAATATTTATGGCTGATCTGAGTTTTTGAGCAGAGCGAACAGGTTTTTGCACTAACTGTGAAGAACTGCGCTTTGATTGTTGCTGTCTTCATAAAATCATCACCTATTCGAGGCGAACGCAGGGAAAGGGTTCGCAGCGAAATTAATAATGGGATTAAATTGATTAATTGTCATTAGACAGGAGGTAAACACGCGCCTTTTGTTTAACTTTACGCTCTTTTGTTTGCATCGTAATTACAACTGCCAAAAGCCAAGTCAAATCTAATGGTTAAGTCAAACGAGTGACAGGCAGATGAGCGCGTGTGTGTGTGTGCGTGTGTGCCAAAAACTTGAATAAAACATTAACAAACATATGAGAGACCATATGTAAATTGGCAAGTTATGCGATTTTTGCGTGTCTACGGCTTATAAATGAGCCGCTTCTTCTATTAACCTTTTCAGAACTTGCCATTTGGCATAATGAACTCACCAGCAGCTGGGGTTAAGGGCGAAGCCAGTCACATTGCTTATACGCAGCGTGGTGCGTTCATATCCAAGAATACGCAGGCAAGACCACGCCCCAAATGAACAGTGATTTCTTACAGGATTTGGGTGTGGCTCATCGCAACCACACCACACCCACACACAAAGTCCGACCAAGCCTTTGACTTGACTCCTATCGAGGTGTGTATCTGTCCATCTGACACGTGTGCCCAGCCGCGCCCTCGTCTTTGCCTTGGCTGTGCCTGCTGGTCAAGGCTGACCATGGGCCAGCACCATGTCGTGTCTTGCTGCACAACATCCTTTTTGGCAGCCCTGACTTTACGAGCTCAGGATGTGGCCGCCCGTTGCAGCGGAAGTGCACAAGAACTGCGAACTGCAAATGCAGCGGCCATAAATTTATAAACATTTTGTGGCACTTGGCGTGTCTGCAGAGCTGGCATATAATTATAATGCCCTCCCGAAGGCCTTGCGTAACTGAACAATCGGAGCAAGCTCTCATCTAAATTCTTGCTGGCCTTGTCGCTGGCCTTTATCTTATCAGCCTACACTCTAATGCTCGCAGTGCTCATAAATTGTTCAGACGCGGCGGGCACATGAAAGTCGGACACAATGAAGATCGTATCTGGCTGGCGCTGTGACTCACAATAGGAACTCTACAATAGCTGGCTGTTATACTTACTAGAGGTGTTTGCCCAGTAACTAGAGCCCAATCTGGTGTGGGACTTCGCTGGTTGTCAATCAAAATAACACATTTCCTTAGTGTGAAACATTGTGGTGTATTTTGTTGGGACTTTCCACATGTTATAGTATAAATCACAATTGAGCTAAATAACTGCATTTCTATATATCTCCGCCTAGCTAAACTGGAAACACATTAAACAGTGTTTAAATAGCGTAAAACATTTAAGATTTAAATTTTTAATTTCCATCAAAACAACATTTCAAACTACCCTCGCGCCTTTTTGGCGTGCAACACACTCAAGTATAGTCCGCAGTATGCAATGAAATTTCCTTTCTAGGCCACAGCTTTACCGTTAGCCGGCCAAGAGACGTTAACGTAAATTATATGGACGGAGGTAAGCCTCCAAATAGAATCGCTTGGCCAACTTGCTGTCCAAGCCAAAGCAGCTCCATTGATGCCCCATTTCTGATAGCGAAAGTGCGCGGCAGCCAGAGGCACAACATAAGTACCAGTGCGAGTATGAGTGTGAGTGCGAGTGTGAGTGTGAGTGTGAGTACTCGTATGAGTGTGACCTTGACATTAGAAGTGAATCGTGTTGTGTTGCAAATACTACAAGTGTATTCCTATGAATTCA